TAATGGTATGGACGTGCAAAGTGTGTGTATGGAGAATATTTCTTACTTATTTATTTGTTACAGAATTGAAATTCACTCCAGGTATGTAGTTTTGGATAAAGGTAAATCTCATTTTCTCAAAAGTGATAAAAGTGGACATTTCTCCTTGCTAATAGCCCTTCATTTCGTGATCTCATAACGTTGATCCATCTGTTCGCTGGCAGCTTGTCTGGCGTCTTTTTCTGGCAGCTGGACGCCATGGCATCGCTGTTGGTGTCGCTGCCATGGCATCCTAGTGCGATACCGCCCTAAGTATATACTATACATGGTTTATTGAACAATGTAGAAATTAAGTCATGTACAGTTTCTGGTTCTCTTTATACTGTAGTACTTTATCGTCTCTGCCTTCAGACTCTCCTCATCGACTGTTCTGATCAGCTGACCCATTCCCTACTATCTCTTTCCTCGTACAGTTCCTCTCAAGTAATCATTTTCCAAGGTCATTGCTTATGGTCATTTTCTAACTAACTAATACGTCACACAAAAAAGCCAAATTAACTTTCTTCGTAATTAATATAGAACAGATCTGTTATGTACTTTGGATTTTAAAAATATGCCTCCGTGGAGGACTAGCGAGTCAATTATAAAAACATCTTAATTTGCCATCCAGTAGGAAGTTGATTATCAGGCGTTAGAGGTGTCAGCACTGGAGCGTGATGTCGGAGCTGCCAACTGCGTTTCCCACGTCAGCTCACACGTGGTATTTTAAGATTAAAAATGGTTATTCAGAAAAAGTGTAGCATGTAACAAATGTTATAAACATGGCAGAACAAGGCTTTAATGTTATTACGACAACTTGCAAACTACTATCGAATGTGTAGAAATGAATTTGAATAGGAAATGCTGTGGAATATCGAGGCTCATGCTTCACCATGACAACTGAGAAACAGTAATATGCATATACACGTACGTCGTTTTCCAATTCCAGACTTACGACAATCGACAATTAATGGTGACTGCGTTCATCTGTCTCTGGGGTGTCCGTCTGTCGGGATACCTGCTTTATCGTATTCTCAAGATAGGCCGTGACAAACGTTTCGATGATAAACGCAGTAACGTGATTCGATTTGCTGTCTTCTGGACTTTTCAAGTAAGTGCCCCAGATCAAGTTGTTGTTTGTTTTTTTTTTTTGTGGTACCAGAAGTGAATATAGACTTCAGAATATGATACGTGAGGTGCGTGCGTCTACCCCCAGTCATGGTATAAGTACGATGGACCGATTTTCATTAAACTCCTTGCGAATATCACATCAGTGTGAGTAATTTCAATACGTAGCGAGTGGAATTAACACGCTGTCCTCGCAAAATACAAATGGATCATTATAAACAATAAGAAAACTGTCACATGTTCTTTAAATTATGTATTTATGAATTATTTGAAATCTGATAAATCACCCCAATATTCATAAGATGTATGAAAATTGTATTTGAATTATCGTTTTGAAGCTTTATATAATTATATACACCTGAGGATGGTTCTTTTAGGAACTGAAACATGTCGTGAAACATGAAAAATGATGGTCTAATGTAAATCGAATATTTCGACAAAGAACATCATTTAATATTTTAAATATTTTAAATGTTAATTATTGTAATATTTTAATAAGAATTTATTGTGATTAGACGGACAAGATTTAATATAATATATACTCCCCAATATTCTTCCTAGAAATTATTTGATTGTATCTCGGCAAATGTCACTTTTCGTCAGACCGCTTCTCTCCTCTCTCTTTTCAGGCTATCTGGGTGTATGTAGTGAGTCTTCCAGTGATCTTTATTAACTCCCCTCACAATTCAATTCCTCCAGCTACAAGGACAATGACAACGCTAGATTCTGCTGGAACAGGACTTTTTGTTATCGGTCTGCTGGCAGAAACGTACGCCGATCTTCAGAAATTTCAGTTCCGCCAGGATCCTGCTAATATTGGAAAATGGTGTAACGATGGTATGTAGCACAGACTCATGGATAATATGCCCTTACTTATAAATAAAGAAGTTTAATAATATAAAATGTGTATGTATCGTCAATTAAGACGACCATTTTCAGAAACAATATTGTAGTCAGAAGAAAAAATCGTCGTACCTTTCTCATAACAGGGTACTATCAACTCAAAATGACTGTCTTCGAGTATAAAATTAAACAACTCCATAAGAATTAATTAAATTTTATATTTGAAACGTTAACGCTTATGCCAAAGTATGAGAAATCAGACGATTATGTAATAATAAGCAAATTATTTTATGTTTATATTAAAATTAAATTAAATTAAATCCGTGGCGTAACAGCCCTCTGAGAGCCAAAGCTCTGGCCTCACGTTCACGTGCCTAAGCAGAGGTGAATGATCATCCAACCAGGTATAGGATGACGTGTGGTCAGCACGACGAATCCCACAGCCAATGCTGGCTTTCCTGACCGGATTACGCTACTCATTGTAGCTCCCCAATTTCCTCACGATGCTGGGTTGGCACCGGTCGAAAGCTCATGAGAAATGAATGAATGAAATTGGAGCGCCATACGACATTTACGATGGAGATTGTTTAGCAAATTTTAACTATTATAAAACTACAAACAGTTTTGGATTAGATGAAAGAAAATACACTTCTGTATTGACTCGTCAAAAATGTCGAAGAAGTACGAAATGATAAAGATGACAATTTTTTTTTTTTTTAGGCTTGTGGAGGTTATCTCGTCATCCCAATTACTTTGGTGAGATAGTGCTGTGGTGGGGGATCTTCATTATATCGTTGAATGTTCTCGATGGGTTGGAGTATTTTGCCATTCTGTCTCCGATATTCACAACGCTCATCATTCTCTTCCTGTCCGGAATGCCTCTCTTGGAGAAATCGTCAGACGACAAATATCGAGAGTAAGAAATTTTGTTCCTCATTTCTTAATATTCCGCCAGACACAAGAAATTCAACTTTTTCCCCCTCGAGAAAACCATAATATTTCTATTTATTTATTATAATCTGTTTTTTTTAATTACTTACGTAGTTAACAGCTTCTTTATTGTATAAAATACAGACTAGTTAGTGATCAACATCCTCTTTATTTTATTCATAATTTATACAGATAACAAATTATATTTGTCAATCTCTACATTAAAAAGTAAATTTTATATATAAAAAAAAATTTAAGCTGTTAGAAAGTACATACTCTATTGGTCATCCTCACTGCATGATGTTTGTTGCAGCAATGTGGAGTACCGCTACTACAAAGCATCCACATCACCTCTAATCCCAATACCCCCCTCCTTCTATGTTGAGGTTCCTAGGTTTTTGAAGTTTCTGCTATGCTGTGAATATCCACTCTACGATTCACTGGATATCCCGGTTCTAGCAACGATCACCGAGTCCACTAGCATCTCGCCGGTCCAATCACAAACATAGCTACAGCAGTCGGCTAGTCGCGAACCAGCGACTAGCTTCAATAAGGCAACGGGAAGTATTACCACCATTTTGTGATGATCTGGTCTCATCTTGTCAATTACAAGTGTCAAAATATGTTATTCAACTGATTTGCATTTGAGAGTACAAACAAGGAAGGTCGAGCAGAAATCCAAAGAAGGTTGGCCAAAACAGTAAAAGAAACTGTATCGGTACTCGGTTCTGTCAATGGCAATATAACGACATATCCAGTGCATAAAATATCTGCTTAAAGTTGTGAAATATGTAAGAAATTACACAGAGTACATCCATTTTGCATTACCATGTTTGCTCAAATAATTCTTCCCCGTCCCCTATGCCATCCCTCTTTGGTTTTTAAACTCTAGAATAGGGGAGTAGAATACAGAGTATGTGGAAACGGTGATATCAGAATGTGAGAGTAATGCGAACTTATGAAAAAGGAAGAATTGGAGTAGTTGAAATAAAAACAAAAATTCTTGACGAAACATGGCCGTTACAAACTGTTGACCAGTTCCTCATTCGTAACCCGTCTGCAGATACAGTAATATATAGTACGTATTACGCGTCGAAAGGTTTCCTGGACGTAAAATTTATGACAGAACCAGGTGGTACTAAATTGAAGATGGAAAATGATAACCTAAGTTTATGATAAAAGGACTTTGTCTGTGCAGATGATAGGTACTTAACTTTTCAAGAAATTTCCTGTAATCGAGCTTGAAAGCTTATAAGTTCTGTCATAAATACCTCGTATTGGACCCTGTCCTAAGCTAGTTCAAACCCATTTAGATGTTAACCTATTTCCCTAAAATCAATTTTGCTAATGGTCATAGTGCAAGGGTCATTTTCATGCCCACCCCATTTATTTACATTCCAAAATCCATTTTAAAAATTCACTTACAAATATATTTCAATTGCCTAGTTGTAGGACAGAATGTAACTTATCCTAAGATGGTTTCAGTACATAACCTCAATTTTCATGGTTAGACTGAACGCAGTGTGCTAAGTGCTTAGGACTTTTGCTTCATATTTGGGATGTCCCAAGTTGAAATATTGGCCTAGATTCTTGCTATCCTGACTGAATTTTCATGTTTTTCATCAGTCCCTCCAGGCAAATGTGAGGATAGTACCTTAAATGAGGCCACAGCCACTTAAAAATATTTTTAAATTCATTATTCAATACCAAATAGCTTGTTGTATTGATGGTCATTAAATGAATCCGTAATGAATGGTCCTTAGCCTCACACCTAACTCTCCAAAACTGGAGACAAAAACTATTCATCGGAATATATTTGGCCAACTTCCATTCTTGAAACCCGTCTCCTGTATCTGAAAATTGAATATGTGCCTTGTAAGTGGTCCATGTAAAAGTGAATAGGATGTTATCCTTTAATGTGAGAGGGGAGGGGTAATGTGTGAGTAAATATGGTATATGCCGTCAACTCTTGATTATTCGTGGGCATGTTTTCCATGTTCCTAATAACACGCACTGAAGAAATAAAGAATAATTACAAGAGTAATTAGGAAAGACTATAAGATTACAGAGTTCATTTAGGGTACATTACTTACTTAACAATGCTCATATGTAAAAAAAGTTGTCAGTGGAACCACGGTTCCGGAGAATTTGACGTAAATACGTCTATACGGAAAGGAAGTTTATATATTGGCTTTATTCTAAGTATTTCCTTTATACATGCTTTACAATTGAGTAAAGTTTGATTAAGACTTTGCTTATTTAACTTGAATTAGTTACGCTTAAGATGGGTCTGTGGTAGCTGAATGTAATGTAAAGTAATGTAATGTAATGAAATGTTTTATAGGTAACAACAATGCCGAGTAAACACTACGTTCCCTAGGTAACCAGGTTCCACTTTTTCATTCCACTTTTTCGTTTCACTTTTTCGTTCCACTTTTTGCCGAATGACACCGACCCGAAAATATAGACGTATTTACGTTAAAAAAGATTGCATTGTTCCTGTTCATTCCATTAGAAAGGGATTGTCTATATAATACGAATATATGCTCATATGCGAGACAAATGATGCTCATAGTTCTACTGCATTGTGAAAATAACTTTATAATATTTATTAAAAGGTTGTCAAAGAACGGAAGTCCTCAATATTCTTCATTACTATACACTTCTCCCTCCATTACCCCGAATAAAAAGGAGTTGACTACAGTTTCATTTTATAATTAGAGT